CACCTGGGAAAGGTTGGAGCTTTCTTTGGGCTTCCAGAGGCGTGCAGCCGGGCTCGTGTGCCTGGCAAACCCGTGAGTGCTGGCAGAAGCCGTTCTCCTGGGGCCCCCGGGCGTGGGCTGGAGCCCCTGCTGACCTTCCGCAGGCCGGGTCAGCCCGCGGGAACCTGTCGTGCCGGCCGGATCGCTTTTTCTCCCCCTGGGTTTAGCCATTCTTTTTTGCCCTGGTACTTGTAATATTAGAAGGAATGAAAATTATACAGCTTCTGGACTTGCTATATTCAGTCTTGGGTTGGTGCCAAAAATCTGCTGGACGGGAGGACCAAAGAGGTGAAGCCTCCAGGAGGGAGTGTGCTCCTCTGACCTCGGCTTGTGCCCGCCGGCGCGAGGCTCGACCCGAGCACGACGCAGCCTCAGGCATCCCCGAAGGCTGTACCTGTCCCCGTAAACCCCGCTCCCCGGACCCGTAGCGCTCCTTTTAGGGTAGCCGAGGTGGAGACCCCCCCGGTCCGTTAGCGCTCACGGGCGGATGGTGAGCAGGGCTGGCGTCTAGAGTTTGCTTCTATTTCTGGCGAGTTATGAGACGCCAGACCTTTTCCGAGCATGTCGTTCCGACTCCTGAGCTGCTCTCCTGCCGTTCTCCCGTGCCTTTCCTCCCGGCAACCCCTTTCCCAAAGTGTGCGTCCCGTTGTTTTTTAATTAAGTGCTGCTGCTGGGGACCCTCCGTGACGTGATTAACCGGCTTCCTTTTTGAGGACAGGTCCGACAGCGCGCCGAAACCCTAAACGCTCTGTCCCGGAGCGATGCCGGCGGCGGAAATCGCCTCCCCGGGATGCACTCCCCACCCACACCGCTCCGCTCTCCCTTCCTCAGCTTCAGGTCTCCGCTGGAAGATGTACAGTGGGAAGAAGCTGAGGCGGAGGAGCGTGTACAGTAGCCTGATGTCATGTCCCCGTTTAACAGGGCTTAACTGTGCTTGGCAGAGCTCTGAGCGCGTTGGGGCATCGTATCGGGGTTAAGCACGAGGAGAATGTGCTGAGGATTAAAAGGTCTCGATGGACTCGAGGCACCCTTCTGGCTGCAAACCTCCTACCTGAAGTAGCTGCTTCGCTTTCGAGCCCGTTCCAAGCGCGAGGTGCTCGGGTTTTTTTAGCTGCTTCCCCCTCTTGTCCGGGGTTTGTCCATCCCGCAGCGGGGAGAAGGGGCGCGGCGTGGTTGTGGGGTGCTGAGTTGGCAGCGGGGCAGGAGCCTTGGTGGTGGTGTGCTTTTAGATGAATTGCTTCCCCGTGAAGCCTGCGAGGGAGGAGTTGGGCACAGCTTTCGTTTGCCGGGAGGTGAAGCACAGGTTGGAGCAGACGTGGAAAAGCAGAGCGGTTGGTGTCTCCGGGTACTCGTTTTGGGGTGTATTTATCTGTGTTGTCCAGGCCGCTTAGGCGCAGCGTCAGGCCGGTGTCCAGGTGACTCGAGAGGCCTAAAGTGGCACCTGGAAGTGTCTCGGACTGGCCTGAGGATGCAGACACAACCTGGGCTGTCAGGGGCCCTCGGGCTGGGTGTTGGGGGTGTTTCTCCTTAGAAAAGCCTCGTGGCTGCCCTCCCTCTACCCCAAAGGCTCGTCCTACCGAGCTTTGTGGGTGACCTTGCAAGCGGAAAAGCCCAGGAGGAGCTCTGGGATTTGCCAGGACCCCCTGCGGCTTTCCCTTGGGCTTAGTGCAACCAAACCATAAAGATCCGTGCCCGGTGCCAAGGTTTGGAGCCCCCCAGCCGGCTC